TACATGGCATCCTATTCCCTATATATTCCCTATAGGTCCTGGTTACATGGCATCCTATTCCCTATATATTCCCTATAGGTCCTGGTTACATGGCATCCTATTCCCTATAGGTCCTGGTTACATGGCATCCTATTCCCTATATATTCCCTATAGGTCCTGGTCACATGGCATCCTATTCCCTATATATTCCCTATAGGTCCTGGTTACATGGCATCCTATTCCCTATATATTCCCTATAGGTCCTGGTTACATGGCATCCTATTCCCTATATATTCCCTATAGGTCCTGGTTACATGGCATCCTATTCCCTATATATTCCCTATAGGTCCTGGTTACATGGCATCCTATTCCCTATATATTCCCTATAGGTCCTGGTTACATGGCATCCTATTCCCTATATATTCCCTATAGGTCCTGGTTACATGGCATCCTATTCCCTATAGGTCCTGGTTACATGGCATCCCTATTCCCTATATGTTCCCTATAGGTCCTGGTTACATGGCATCCTATTCCCTATATATTCCCTATAGGTCCTGGTTACATGGCATCCTATTCCCTACATATTCCCTATAGGTCCTGGTCACATGGCATCCTATTCCCTATATATTCCCTATAGGTCCAGGTTACATGGCATCCTATTCCCTATATATTCCCTATAGGTCCTGGTTACATGGCATCCTATTCCCTATATATTCCCTATAGTTCCTGGTTACATGGCATCCTATTCCCTATAGGTCCTGGTTACATGGCATCCTATTCCCTATAGGTCCTGGTTACATGGCATCCTATTCCCTATATATTCCCTATAGGTCCTGGTTACATGGCATCCTATTCCCTATATATTCCCTATAGGTCCTGGTTACATGGCATCCTATTCCCTATATATTCCCTATAGGTCCTGGTTACATGGCATCCTATTCCCTATAGGTCCTGGTTACATGGCATCCTATTCCCTATAGGTCCTGGTTTACATGGCATCATATTCCCTATATATTCCCTATAGGTCCTGGTTACATGGCATCCTATTCCTATAGGTCCTGGTTACATGGCATCCTATTCCCTATAGGTCCTGGTTACATGGCATCTATTCCCTATATATTCCCTATAGGTCCTGGTCAAAAGGCACCCTATTCCCTATAGGTCCTGGTCAAAAGGCCCCCTATTCCCTATAGGTCCTGGTCAAAAGGCACCCTATTCCCTATAGGTCCTGGTTACATGGCATCCTATTCCCTATATATCCCTATAGGTCCCTGGTTACATGGCATATCCTTTTTCCCTATAGGTCCTGGTTACATGGCATCCTATTCCCTATAGGTCCTGGTTACATGGCATCCTATTCCCTATATATTCCCTATAGGTCCTGGTTACATGGCATCCTATTCCCTATAGGTCATGGTTCTAACTGGACATGCCTATTCCCTATAGGTCCTGGTTACATGGCATCCTATTCCCTATATATTCCCTATAGGTCCTGGTACATGGCATCCTATTCCCTAATTTTGGTCCTGGTTACATGGCATCCTATTCCCTATAGGTCCTGGTTACATGGCATCCTATTCCCTAGATATTGTCCTATAGGTCCTGGTTACATGGCATACTATCCCTATATATTCCCTATAGGTCCTGGTCACATGGCATCCTATTCCCTATATATTCCCTATAGGTCCTGTTACATGGCATCCTATTCCCTATATATTCCCTATAGGTCCCTGGGTACATGGCATCCTATTCCCTATATATTCCCTATAGGTCCTGGTTCATGGCATCCTATTCCCTATAGTCCTGGTTACATGGCATCCTATTCCCTATATATTCCCTATAGGTCCTGGTCACATGGCATCCTATTCCCTATATATTCCCTATAGGTCCTGGTTACATGGCATCCTATTCCCTATATATTCCCTATAGGTCCTGGTTACATGGCATCATATCCCCTATATATTCCCTGTAGGTCCTGGTTACATGGCATCCTATTCCCTATATATTCCCTATAGGTCCTGATCAAATGGCATCCTATTCCCTATATATTCCCTATAGGTCCTGGTTACATGGCATCCTATTCCCTATATATTCCCTATAGGTCCTGATCAAATGGCATCCTATTCCCTATATAATCCTTGTAGGTCCTGGTCAAAAGTAGGGCACTATGTAGGACCAACAAGGTATCACGGTCTCACTTCAGAGTCAGACGTTTCAGACAGGGGGCTAAATGTTTGGGAAAGGGTTAAAACATTAAGGTTATTCATTAACTAGCGAGTGGTTAAGTTAAGGGGTAAGGTTTGGGAAAGGCTTTTAAAAAAGCACTGGGTTTGAACAGAGCAGGAGCTCACGGATTACGCCCATCCTCCATCCCTGTCCACAACGCCCTAGCAAGCCCTTCCTCCTTCCCTGTCCACAACGCCCTAGCAAGCCCATCCTCCATCCCCGTCCGTAACGCCCTAGCAAGCCCTTCCTCCATCCCTGTCCACAATGCCCTAGCAAGCCCATCCTCCATCCCCGTCCGTAACGCCCTAGCAAGCCCTTCCTCCTTCCCTGTCCACAACGCCCTAGCAAGCCCTTCCTCCATCCCTGTCCGTAACGCCCTAGCAAGCCCTTCCTCCATCCCTGTCCACAACGCCCTAGCAAGCCCTTCCTCCATCCCTGTCCACAACGCCCTAGCAAGCCCTTCCTCCATCCCTGTCCACAACGCCCTAGCAAGCCCATCCTCCATCCCTGTCCACAACGCCCTAGCAAGCCCTTCCTCCTTCCCTGTCCACAACGCCCTAACAAGCCCTTCCTCTATCCCCGTCCGTAACGCCCTAGCAAGCCCTTCCTCCATCCCTGTCCACAATGCCCTAGTAAGCCCATCCTCCATCCCTGGTCCACAACGCCCTAGCAAGCCCTTCCTCCATCCCTGTCCACAACGCCCTAGCAAGCCCATCCTCCATCCCTGTCCGTAACACCCTATCAAGCCCTTCCTCCATCCCTGTCCACAACGCCCTAGCAAGCCCATCCTCCATCCCTGTCCACAACGCCCTAGCAAGCCCATCCTCCATCCCCCGTCCACAACGCCCTAGCAAGCCCATCCTCCATCCCCCGTCCACAACGCCCTAGCAAGCCGCCAGCCTACTAGTGGCTGGTTTAAAAGGCGAGTCTCGACGTCCTGGGGACCTGGACGGACTTCTAATTTCGCAGTGGAACTGGGGCAACCTGGCTGGTGGGACATTTTCCATTTTAAATTCCGCTGTCTCCTGGATGACCTCTCTGGGACTAAATATGCTGCCAAGAAACAGACAGACACACACACACACACACACACACACACACACACACACACACACACACACACACACACACACACACACACACACACACACACACACACACACACACACACACACACACACACAGACAGACCTGAAATTCCTCAGACAGTGTTCCAATACTATCTGATTTTTCTATGTTGACTCTCTATGACGCCACAAAGTATAGACTAAGAGCTCTTTACAGGTTACAGCTCTACCCATTCAACACACAGAGTAGGCCACGTTCCTCCCTTGTCTTCCCCCCTACACACACACACACACACACACACACACACACACACACACACACACACACACACACACACACACACACACACACACACACACACACACACACACACACACAGCCTGGATGGCTTCTGTAATATGATCTACAGGAAGAATATTCTCCTGACTTGACTTTCCTGGCTGAGGGGATGCAGGGAGAGAGACAGAGAGAGAGAGAGAGAGAGAGAGAGAGATAGGGAGAGGGAGATAGAGAGACAGAGAGAGAGAGAGAGAGAGAGAGAGAGAGAGAGAGAGAGAGAGAGAGAGAGAGAGAGAGAGAGAGAGAGAGAGAGAGAGGAGTACGTTTTGTCTGTCTGGGGGGGTGGGGGGGGGGGGGGGGGGGGGTAGTGTAGTGTAATTACAGAGTGTGTAGCAGACTTGCTCCACTCAATACCCAGCCTGCCACATCACTATGGACACAACAGAATACAAGACTGTTTTAGCTGTTTTTACACTCTTCAATGTTCTGGTGATATGCTGGTGTGCCCCTCAACGGTTCTGCGAGCCTGGACACGAGGCTCTGGGTAACGTACTACTGTATTCATTCATAACCTTCATGGCTGCTTATGCATTATGGAGCTGTTGAAGTAAGTCATGAGGTCGTTTCAGAGACTAATTATATATTTTTTTCATGTGTGGTTAGAAAAGGGAATAGTCTTGTTTTACTGCAGCCTAGCAGTCTATTCAGATTAGTGTTGTTAACTCCAGTCTATCCAGATTAGTGTTGTTAACTGCAGTCTATCCAGATTAGTGTTGTTAACTCCAGTCTGTCCAGATTAGTGTTGTTAACTCCAGTCTATCCAGATTAGTGTTGTTAACTCCAGTCTATCCAGATTAGTGTTGTTAACTCCAGTCTATCCAGATTAGTGTTGTTAACTCCAGTCTATCCAGATTAGTGTTGTTAACTGCAGTCTATCCAGATTAGTATTGTTAACTGCAGTCTATCCAGATTAGTGTTGTTAACTGCAGTCTATCCAGATTAGTAGTGTTAACTGCAGTCTATCCAGATTAGTGTTGTTAACTCCAGTCTATCCAGATTAGTGTTGTTAACTCCAGTCTATCCAGATTAGTGTTGTTAACTGCAGTCTATCCAGATTAGTGTTGTTAACTCCAGTCTATCCAGATTAGTGTTGTTAACTGCAGTCTATCCAGATTAGTGTTGTTAACTCCAGTCTATCCAGATTAGTGTTGTTAACTGCAGTCTATCCAGATTAGTGTTGTTAACTGCAGTCTATCCAGATTAGTGTTGTTAACTGCAGTCTATCCAGATTAGTGTTGTTAACTGCAGTCTATCCAGATTAGTGTTGTTAACTGCAGTCTATCCAGATTAGTGTTGTTAACTGCAGTCTATCCTGATTAGTGTTTGTTAACTGCAGTCTATCCTGATTAGTGTTGTTAACTGCAGTCTATCCGATTAGTGTTGTTAACTGCAGTCTATCCAGATTAGTGTTGTTAACTGCAGTCTATCCAGATTAGTGTTGTTAACTCCAGTCTATCCAGATTAGTGTTGTTAACTGCAGTCTATCCAGATTAGTGTTGTTAACTCCAGTCTATCCAGATTAGTGTTGTTAACTGCAGTCTATCCAGATTAGTGTTGTTAACTGCAGTCTATCCAGATTAGTGGTTTTGTTAACTGCAGTCTATCCAGATTAGTGTGTTAACTGCAGTCTATCCAGATTAGTGTTGTTAACTGCAGTCTAGCCAGATTAGTGTTGTTAATGCAGTCTATCCAGATTAGTGTTGTTAACTCCAGTCTTTCCAGATTAGTGTTGGTAACTGCAGTCTATCCAGATTAGTGTTGTTAACTCCAGTCTATCCAGATTAGTGTTGTTAACTGCAGTCTATCCAGATTAGTGTTGTTAACTGCAGTCTATCCAGATTAGTGTTGTAACCGCAGTCTGTCCAGATTAGTGTTGTTAACTGCAGTCTATCCAGATTAGTGTTGTTTTAACTGCAGTCTATCCAGATTAGTGTTGTTTAACTGCATCTATCCAGATTAGTGTTGTTAACTCCAGTCAAATCCAGATTAGTGTTGTTAACTGCAGTCTACCCAGATTAGTGTTTAACGGCAGTCTAACCAATTAGTGTGTTAACTGCAGCCCTATCCAGATTAGGGGTTGTTAACTGCAGTCTACCAGATTAGTGTTGTTAATGCCAGTCTATCCAGATTAGTTTTTGTTAACTCCAGTCTATCCAGATTAGTGTTGTTAACTGCAGTCTATCCAGATTTTTGGGTTGTTAACTGCAAGTCTACCCCGATTAGTGTTGTTAACTGCAGTCTATCCAATTTTTGTTGTTAACTGCAGTCTTCCAATTAGTGTTGTTAACTGCAGTCTATCCAATTAGTGTTGTTTAACTGCAGTCTATCCAATTAGTGTTGTTAACTGCAAGTCTATCCATATTAGTGTTGTTAACTGCAGTCATACCAGATTAGTGTTGTTAACTCCAGTCTATCCAGATTAGTGTTGTTAACTGCAGTCTATCCAGATTAGTGTTGTTAACTGCAGTCTATCCAGATTAGTGTTGTTAACTCCAGTCTATCCAGATTAGTGTTGTTAACTCCAGTCTATCCAGATTAGTGTTGTTAACTGCAGTCTATCCAGATTAGTGTTGTTAACTGCAGTCTATCCAGATTAGTGTTGTTAACTCCAGTCTATCCAGATTAGTGTTGTTAACTGCAGTCTATCCAGATTAGTGTTGTTAACTGCAGTCTATCCAGATTAGTGTTGTTAACTGCAGTCTATCCAGATTAGTGTTGTTAACTCCAGTCTATCCAGATTAGTGTTGTTAACTGCAGTCTATCCAGATTAGTGTTGTTAACTGCAGTCTATCCAGATTAGTGTTGTTAACTGCAGTCTATCCAGATTAGTGTTGTTAACTGCAGTCTATCCAGATTAGTGTTGTTACCCCCATATTTTTACGCAGTCTATCCAGATTAGTGTTGTTAACTCCAGTCTATCCAGATTAGTGTTGTTAACTGCAGTCTATCCAGATTAGTGTTGTTAACTGCAGTCTATCCAGATTAGTGTTGTTAACTGCAGTCTATCCAGATTAGTGTTGTTAACTGCAGTCTATCCAGATTAGTGTTGTTAACTGCAGTCTATCCGATGAGTGTTGTTAACTCCAGTCTATCCAGATTAGTGTTGTTAACTGCAGTCTATCCAGATTAGTGTTGTTAACTGCAGTCTATCCAGATTAGTGTTGTTAACTGCAGTCTATCCAGATTAGTGTTGTTAACTGCAGTCTATCCAGATTAGTGTTGTTAACTGCAGTCTATCCAGATTAGTGTTGTTAACTGCAGTCTATCCAGATTAGTGTTGTTAACTGCAGTCTATCCAGATTAGTGTTGTTAACTGCAGTCTATCCAGATTAGTGTTGTTAACTGCAGTCCTATCCAGATTAGTGTTGTTAACTGCAGTCTATCCAGATTAGTGTTGTTAACTGCAGTCTATCCAGATTAGTGGTTGTTAACTGCAGTCTATCCAGATTAGTGTTGTTAACTGCAGTCTATCCAGATTAGTGTTGTTAACTGCAGTCTATCCAGATTAGTGTTGTACTGCAGTCTATCCAGATTAGTGTTGTTACTGCAGTCTATCCAGATTAGTTGTGTTAACTCCAGTCTATCCAGATTAGTGTTGTTAACTGCAGTCTATCCAGATTAGTGTTGTTAACTCTATCCAGATTAGTGTTGTTAACTGCAGTCTATCCAGATTAGTGTATAACTGCAGTCTATCCAGATTAGTGTGGTTAAACTGCAGTCTATCCAGATTAGTGTTGTTAACTCCAGTCTATCCAGATTAGTGTTGTTAACTGCAGTCTATCCAGATTAGTGTTGTTAACTGCAGTCTATCCAGATTAGTGTTGTTAACTCTATCCAGATTAGTGTTGTTAACTGCAGTCTATCCAGATTAGTGTTATTAACTGCAGTCTATCCAGATTAGTGTGGTTAACTGCAGTCTATCCAGATTAGTGTTGTTAACTCCAGTCTATCCAGATTAGTGTTGTTAACTGCAGTCTATCCAGATTAGTGTTGTTAACTGCAGTCTATCCAGATTAGTGTTGTTAACTGCAGTCTATCCATATTAGTGTTGTTAACTCCAGTCTATCCAGATTAGTGTTGTTAACTGCAGTCTATCCAGATTAGTGTTGTTAACTGCAGTCTATCCAGATTAGTGTTGTTAACTGCAGTCTATCCAGATTAGTGTTGTTAACTCCAGTCTATCCAGATTAGTGTTGTTAACTGCAGTCTATCCAGATTAGTGTTGTTAACTGCAGTCTATCCAGATTAGTGTTGTTAACTCCAGTTTATCCAGATTAGCCTATAGAGTGCCTGTCTACAATGACCCACCTCCCCTTGGTCCTTTTGTTCAACAGAAAAACCCAAACCCGTGGCAGCAGATCCACAAGGTGCTGCCACGAGAGGTGACTGTATAGTTCCCTTAAGGAAAAGCACCTTTAGTCAATCTGCTTTCTCTGTGAGAGCTTCCCCTGCCTGGAGCACACTGCTATCAGACACACACAACGGCTCCACCTATCACACCTTCACAGAGAACATAAAGGCCAATCAGACCAGTGAACATAAAGACATGGCTGAAGGCCAATCAGACCAGTGAACATAAAGACATGGCTGAAGGCCAATCAGACCAGTGAACATAACCCCTAGCTGTGCATCGCCGCTTTCCATGTTATCTGTTGTCTGTAGCTTGTGAGGTGTGGGAAACACTTTGTTGCTTTTTTAGTTTTATTGCTTGTTTTATGTGTTTCTCTGTCTGCGTGCTACGTGTTGCTTGTCCTGTGTTTCTCTGTCTGCGTGCTACGTGTTGCTTGTCATGTGTTTCTCTGTCTGCGTGCTACGTGTTGCTTGTCCTATGTTTCTCTGTCTGCATGCTACGTGTTGTTTGTCCTGTGTTTCTCTGTCTGCGTGCTACGTGTTGCTTGTCCTATGTTTCTCTGTCTGCGTGCTATGTGTTGCTTGTCCTATGTTTCTCTGTCTGCGTGCTACGTGTTGCTTGTCCTATGTTTCTCTGTCTGCGTGCTACGTGTTGCTTGTCCTATGTTTCTCTGTCTGCGTGCTACGTGTTGCTTGTCCTATGTTTCTCTGTCTGCGTGCTACGTGTTGCTTGTCCTATGTTTCTCTGTCTGTGTGCTACGTGTTGCTTGTCCTGTGTTTCTCTGTCTGCGTGCTAGGTGTTGCTTGTCCTATGTTTCTCTGTCTGTGTGCTAGGTGTTGCTTGTCCTATGTTGCCCTGCATGTTGCTCACTGCTCATTGTCAGTCTGTATTGTTATTGTAATGGTTTTTAATAACCTGGGCAGGGACTGCGGTTGAAAATGAGCCGGCTGGCTAAAACCGGCACTTTTACTGAAACGTTGGTTAATGTGCGCCGTCCCTGTAGAAATACGCTCAGACTCAGTACGACATTTTAGTTTGATTTACAAATGGATATTTGTCTTATAGACTGATAATTCCATAATATATGATTCTGCAAATATATGACATAACCTGCATTATAATGCGGTAGTAATTTTTTTCTCCCCTCAATCAAATCAGGTTACTAGTATTTTAAGTCAGGTTACTGGTATTTTAAGTCAGGTTACTAGTATTTCAAGTCAGGTTAATAGTATTTTAAGTCAGGTTACTAGTATTTTAAGTCAGGTTACTAGTATTTCAAGTCAGGATATTAGTATTTCAAGTCAGGTTAATAGTATTTTAAGTCAGGTTACTGGTATTTGAAGTCTGGTTACTAGTATTTCAAGTCAGGATATTAGTATTTCAAGTCAGGGTAATAGTATTTTTAAGTCAGGTTACTAGTATTTTAAGTCAGGATATTAGTATTTCAAGTCAGGTTAATAGTATTTAAGTCAGGTTACTGGTATTTGAAGTCTGGTTACTAGTATTTCAAGTCAGGATATTAGTATTTCAAGTCAGGTTAATAGTATTTTAAGTCAGGTTACTAGTATTTTAAGTCAGGTTACTAGTATTTCAAGTCAGGATATTAGTATTTCAAGTCAGGTTAATAGTATTTTAAGTCAGGTTACTGGTATTTGAAGTCTGGTTACTAGTATTTCAAGTCAGGATATTAGTATTTCAAGTCAGGGTAATAGTATTTTTAAGTCAGGTTACTAGTATTTTAAGTCATGTTACTAGTATTTCAAGTCAGGTTATTAGTATTTTAATTCCAACCCACAGATAAGTCCAATATCCGTTTATAAGTGCAATATAATTTTATTAAAAGTTTCAAAGTAAATCTGATCACAGACGATGATGCTTCGTCTATGTTGGTGTCTGACGTTCTTTCTGGAATGGACGTTTTACCTTTGACTCTGCTTCCCTCTAGCGTCTGTTCACCAACGTTGCTTCAACTAATACACTAATCCAGTGGTTCTCAACCCTCTCCTTGGGGACCCCCCCAGACGTTTCACCATGTTGTTGTAGCCCTGAACTATTTCACCTGATTACCCTAGTAAAGGACTTGATGATTAGTTGACAAGTTAAATCAGGTTTGCTAGATGTGCAATAGATTAAATACATGGTAAGTCTGGGGGATCTCGGGGAGAGGTTGGAGATCCACTGCAGAAGGCTACATAAAGTCTGGGGGATCTCGAGGAGAGGTTGGAGATCCACTGCAGAAGGTTACATAAAGTCTGGGGGTTCTCGAGGAGAGGTTGGAGATCCACTGCAGAAGGCTACATGTACTTCTGTTGTGATGTGTTTTGTATTTTGTATTTTGCAGGAAGATGCAACAACAGTCCAGCTGAAGAAAAATGTAAGTGATTCACTGAACTTTTTTATTGTTATAAGGAAAGAAAGAAATATAAAAATGGATTGTAAAATATATATTATGTATGGTAGTCCAAGTCAACTGTATAGCAGTCAACTATAGCTTACAGTGTTTATAGTGTACATACCACGTGGATTTGTGTCAATTCATCTATATATGTTGTCTGTATATTCTGTTTATTGTCTATATATTCTGTTGTCTGTATATTCTGTTTATTGTCTGTATATTCTGTTTGTTGTCTGTATATTCGGTTTATTGTCTGTATATTCTGTTTATTGTGGCAGTACCATTTAACAGAGTCAAATTCCTTTCCATGCAAATGTAGCAAGATGGAACAAGCCTGTACATAGCTGTCGTCTGCATCCCAAATGGCTATAGTGAATAGGGTGCCATTTGACTAGGGACCATAGTGAATAGGGTGCCATTTGACCAGGGACCATAGTGAATAGGGTGCCATTTGACCAGGGACCATAGTGAATAGGGTGCCATTTGACAAGGGACCATAGTGAATAAGGTGCCATTTGACCAGGGACCATAGTAAATAGGGTGCCATTTGACCAGGGACCATAGTAAATAGGGTGCCATTTGACCAGGGACCATAGTAAAAGGGGTGCCATTTGATCAGGGACCATAGTGAATAGGGTGCCATTTGACCAGGACCATAGTAAATAGGGTGCCATTTGACCAGGGACCATAGTAAATAGGGTGCCATTTGACCAGGGACCATAGTAAATAGGGTGCCATTTGACCAGGGACCATAGTAAATAGGGTGCCATTTGACCAGGGACCATAGTGAATAGGGTGCCATTTGACCAGGGACCATAGTGAATAGGGTGCCATTTGACCAGGGACCATAGTAAATAGGGTGCCATTTGACCAGGGACCATAGTAAATAGGGTGCCATTTGACCAGGGACCATAGTGAATAGGGTGCCATTTGACCAGGGACCATAGTGAATAGGGTGCCATTTGACCAGGGACCATAGTGAATAGGGTGCCATTTGACCAGGGACCATAGTAAATAGGGTGCCATTTGACCAGGGACTATAGTAAATAGGGAGCCATTTGACTAGGGACCATAGTAAATAGGGTGCCATTGGACCAGGGACCATAGTGAATAGGGTGCCATTTGACCAGGGACCATAGTGAATAGGGTGCCATTTGACCAGGGACCATAGTAAATAGGGTGCCATTTGACCAGGGACTATAGTAAATAGGGTGCCATTTGACTAGGGACCATAGTAAATAGGGTGCCATTGGACCAGGGACCATAGTAAATAGGGTGCCATTTGACCAGGGACCATAGTAAATAGGGTGCCATTTGACCAGGGACCATAGTGAATAGGGTGCCATTTGACCAGGGACCATAGTGAATAGGGTGCCATTTGACCAGGGACCATAGTAAATAGGGTGCAATTTGACCAGGGACCATAGTAAATAGGGTGCCATTTGACCAGGGACCATAGTGAATAGGGTGCCATTTGACCAGGGACCATAGTAAATAGGGTGCCATTTGACCAGGGACCATAGTAAATAGGGTGCCATTTGACCAGGGACCATAGTAAATAGGGTGCCATTTGACCAGGGACCATAGTAAATAGGGTGCCATTTGACCAGGGACCATAGTAAATAGGGTGCCATTTGACCAGGGACCATAGTGAATAGGGTGCTATTTGGAAAGCCTCCATAGTTTAAGAGAGGACAGGAACATTAGTTTGAACCCTGTGGGGATGTTCTGTACTGTCGCTGTCTGTCTGGGATGATTTAAAATACAGTTAGAGATATCACTTCAGGAGATAACAGAGATATGTATTGTTGATAAAAACCTTAGTAACGTTCAGAGAACATTATAAGAATGTTATTTAAAAACATACATTCTGTTCTCAGAACGTTAAGAAAACGTTCCATAAAAACCACAAGAAATCTTTAGTAATGTTTAGAGAACGTTCTAAGAATGTTATTTAAAAACATACATTCTGTTCTCAGAACGTTAAGAAAACGTTCCATAAAAACGACAAGAAATCTTTAGTAATGTTAAGAGAACGTTCTAAGAATGTTATTTAAAAACATTCCGTTCTCAGCATCAACAAAACTCTCTCTATCCTCTACCTTGTTCTGGTGTGTTCTGGTGTGTTGGCCACGCCCACTAATCGGCCACACCTGATCTTAATGAGAACTTGTTTCCTTTGAAACGGGGTCTGTTTCAATAGGCCAAACGGAAACCCTAAACAGATTAACCCCCCCCCCCCAAAACAACTAATCTCTTACAGTCTCGTTTCGGCAAAAAAAATTATCTTGTTGTTTTGGAAAAGGAAGGAAGCTACCTCTGCCAAATTATGGCTCAGCGATTTGGCAAACACACTACACTTAGAAAGAATTAGATATATTCTGAGCCATACATTATCAACATTTCATCAAATCTGGCAGCGTCTCCTCTCTTACTTTGGACCATTCGGCGCCGTGAATTTGTACATTTTAACGCACTCTCACTTGTAATATTTTAATCTACCCTTGGGCAGCGTGTGTTTTTCCCCGGCACCTGGGGAAGGGAGACCTCTGCCCTTGTTCTGTATGACTTATTTAGTGTTGTTTATTTGGAACTCTGGGTACTTTTCCTATCTGTCTGCTATTTCATGTTTACATAAGATTTGCACACTTGTCTTTTCTACAAGAGACCTTTACACCAGTCTTGTGTGTGTTCAATAAAAAAATATTTGAACGAGACTAATGCCATGAATAGACAACAGAAGGTCATAGGTTAAAAATCTCACTGATGCTGTGCCACAATAACAAAGAAATGTGATTAACGCCTAAGCAAATTAATTTGCATGTGTCCTATCTGCTTGGAGCACAAAACAGGTAACTCAAAACTAAGATAGCAGTGCTGTTAAGAGTCTTATTGAAACATGTTCTCAGAAAGTTATTTAATTTCCGTTTCTCAGAACGTTAATAAAAAACCTCCCAGGAAAACTTTCAAGGAACCTCCCTGCAACCCAAAAAATGTACGTTCCAAGAACGTTCCGTTTTACAGGTCAGGAAACCTATGGCTACGTTCCCAGAAACGAATGGGAAACCAAAAAACTTATGTTCCCACAACTTCCAAGGAACCAGATGTGCTAGCTGGGTAAAGTCCCTTAGGTCTTGAGTAAGTCCTATAACATAATTAATAATAATAATATGCCATTTAGCAGAAGCTTTTATCCAAAGCGACTTACAGTCATGCGTGCATACGTTTTTGTGTATGGCTGGTCCCGGGGATCGAACCCACTACCTTGGCGTTACAAGCGCCGTGCTCTACCAGCTGAGCTACAGAGGAACACATACATCAACAATTACATCAACAGTGTAGACAGTAAAGCGTGACCTGGTTCAGTGGCCAAACGCTGTCCAACAATGCAGATAGAAACGCCATGACTAGAGCCGCCATGATTCCTTGTTCTACGTGTCAGAGAGGCATGTTCAACACAGCATACTGTATTTCTATCTGTACGTTCCAAAAATGTTGTGTCCTGCTGAATGTGCCTCAGATCTCCTCTCACCGCTAAGCAGTGTAACCTGGGTTACTAGATCTCCTCTCACCCCTAAGCAGTGTAACCTGGGTTACCAGATCTCCTCTCACCCCTAAGCAGTGTAACCTGGGTTACTAGATCTCCTCTCACCCCTAAGCAGTGTAACATGGGTTACTAGATCTCCTCTCACCCCTAAGCAGTGTAACCTGGGTTACCAGATCTCCTCTCACCCCTAAGCAGTGTAACCTGGGTTACCAGATCTCCTCTCACCCCTAAGCAGTGTAACCTGGGTTACCAGATCTCCTCTCACCCCTAAGCAGTGTAACCTGGGTTACCAGATCTCCTCTCACCCCTAAGCAGTGTAACCTGGGTTACCAGATCTCCTCTCACCCCTAAGCAGTGTAACCTGGGTTACTAGATCTCCTCTCACCCCTAAGCAGTGTAACCTGGGTTACCAGATCTCCTCTCACCACTAAGCAGTGTAACCTGGGTTACTAGATCTCCTCTCACCCCTAAGCAGTGTAACCTGGGTTACCAGATCTCCTCTCACCCCTAAGCAGTGTAACCTTGGTTACCAGATCTCCTCTCACCCCTAAGCAGTGTAACCTGGGTTACTAGATCTCCTCTCACCCCTAAGCAGTGTAACCTGGGTTACCAGATCTCCTCTCACCCCTAAGCAGTGTAACCTGGGTTACCAGATCTCCTCTCACCCATAAGCAGTGTAACCTGGGTTACCAGATCTCCTCTCACCCCTAAGCAGTGTAACCTGGGTTACCAGATCTCCTCTCACCCCTAAGCAGTGTAACCTGGGTTACCAGATCTCCTCTCACCCCTAAGCAGTGTAACCTGGGTTACCAGATCTCCTCTCACCCCTAAGCAGTGTAACCTGGGTTACCAGATCTCCTCTCACCCCAAAGCAGTGTAACCTGGGTTACCAGATCTCCTCTCACCCCTAAGCAGTGTAACCTGGGTTACCAGATCTCCTCTCACCCCTAAGCAGTGTAACCTGGGTTACCAGATCTCCTCTCACCCCTAAGCAGTGTAACCTGGGTTACCAGATCTCCTCTCACCCCTAAGCAGTGTAACCTGGGTTACTAGATCTCCTCTCACCCCTAAGCAGTGTAACCTGGGTTACTAGATCTCCTCTCACCCCTAAGCAGTGTAACCTGGGTTACCAGATCTCCTCTCACCCCTAGCAGTGTAACCTGGGTTACCAGATCTCCTCTCACCCCTAAGCAGTGTAACCTGGGTTACCAGATCTCCTCTCACCCCTAAGCAGTGTAACCTGGGTTACCAGATCTCCTCTCACCCCTAAGCAGTGTAACCGGGGTTACCAGATCTCCTCTCACCCCTAAGCAGTGTAACCTGGGTTACCAGATCTCCTCTCACCCCTAAGCAGTGTAACCTGGGTTACCAGATCTCCTCTCACCCCTAAGCAGTGTAACCTGGGTTACCAGATCTCCTCTCACCCCTAAGCAGTGTAACCTGGGTTACCAGATCTCCTCTCACCCCTAACCCTCCTCCTCTCCTCCCCAGCGGTGTGTTCAGAGATGAACCTGGGTTACTGCAACGACCTGGACTACTCCAGGTGAGTCTTCTGGTTACCCTCCCTTACTATAAACAGAGGCTGCTATAAACAGAGGCTGCTATAAACAGAGGCTGCTATAAACAGAGGCTGCTATAAACAGAGGCTGCTATAAACAGAGTCTGCTATAAACAGAGTCTGCTATAAACAGAGGCTGCTATAAACAGAGGCTGCTATAAACAGAGTCTGCTATAAACAGAGTCTGCTATAAACAGAGTCTGCTATAAACAGAATCCGCATCCCAACCGGCACCCTGTTCCCTATATAGTGTCCTTCTTTTCACCAGGGCCCACAGGACTCTAATCAGAAGTAGTGCACTATATAGGGAATAGGGTGCCATTTGGGACCCAAGCAGAGTCATGTCCCCTCCCTCCCTCCCTCACTCTAGAGTGAAGATATTTCCCACATGGAAATGGAAGAGAATCACTTTGTTTGAGAAAAAAAACATTACCAATATGTTGTCATCTACTTGACTGATTGATACATTGACTGATCGACAGACTGATTCACAGATTGATTGAGTGACTGACTAATTGATTAAATAATTGATTGATTTGCTCGACTGACTGGTCAACAGACTGATCGACGGATTAACAGACCACTCAATCGACAGACTGATCGACAGATCGACCGATCAATCAATCATATCGATCAATTGCCGGTCTCTCCCCCAGGACCATCTTCCCTAACATCCTAGGTCAGCGGTCTCGTCATGAGGTGGAGTCTGGAGCTGAGTACCTCCTCCTGTCTGTGGTCCATGGTCTCCTCAACGGGGAGTGTTCCCCTGACATCCGTCTGCTGGGGTGCTCCGTCCTCGCCCCGCGCTGCCAGGACCTACCCAGCCCCGCGCCCGTCAAGGTGTGTCCCTGCTAGCACATTTGGTTCCTTGGAACATTTACATTTACATTATTTAGCAGACGCTCTTATCCAGAGCGACTTACAGGAGCAATTAGGGTTAAGTGCCTTGCTCAAGGGCACATCGACAGATTTTTCACCTAGTTGGCTTGGGGATTAGAACCAGCGACCTTTCGGTTACTGGCACAACGCTCTTAACCACTAAGCTACCTGCCGCCCAACGTACGGCTACAAAGCCTTACGTTTCCTGACCGGAAAGGAAGTTAACATTTTCACCTGTTCCTGGGAACATAACATTTTATGTTGCAGGGAGGTTCTGAGAACGTTTTACTATGGTTCCCTGAAGGTTTTCCCGGGAGGTTTTATTAACGTTCTGAGAACAGAAATTATAAACGTGTTTCATTAAGACACTGCTAGCTTAACTGTTTTGAACTTGAAGTACAGCTAGGACACATGGAAATGAATTTGCTTAGGCATTAATCATGCAAATACTTTTATTGTGCCACAGGGTCAGTGAGTTTCAAACCTATGATCTTCTGTTCTCTATCCATGGCATTAGTCCACTGCACCACCAGGATGGAGTTAACATGCCATTTTAAAAAAAACTCATACAAAGGTGTTCATTTTAATCTATTCAAACAGACCCCGTTTCAAAGGAAACAAGATCTCATTAAGATGAGGTGTGGACAATTAGTGGGCGCAGCTCAACACACCTGAACACACTTAACATTTCTAAGAATGTTATTTAAAAAACGTATATGTTACGCTTTCAGCACCAACAAGAGCAGAGTATTCAGAGTTTTGTTGGTGCTGAAAGCGGAACATATACGTTTTTTTAAATAACATTCTTAGAACGCTAATGTTTTCTTTTGGTTTTTAATGTTCTGAGAACATTACTTTAAATAGCACCGTGAGGAAACTGCAGAAAATGTTTTGCTGAAGTATTGAAATTCCCACAGAAGCAAGTTTTTTTTAACTTTCTCTGAACTATTTGAGGACATTCCCAATTTCAAACCAGTTGGAGAACATTCCTAGAACATTACCAAACATTTAATTAAATGTAATCATGTTTTAACTTTTAGGAAATGTTCTGTTTAAACTAATGAAACGCAAAGAAAATAATGTTATTTTGTCAAGTTCCTTAAATGTGCTGAGAATGTTCCAAAGCCAAGCAACCATCCTGCACCGTTCCCAGAACGTTGTGGGAAGGTTGTATGGAAAATAACCACAGGACAACCACGCTCCCACCAAGCTCTATGACACATATGGTTCTCAGAACGTTATGTGCTAGCTGGGGAGGATGTGAGGAAGAAATATAGGGTTCTCAGAACGTTATGTGCTAGCTGGGGAGGATGTGAGGAATCAAGGAAATACAATTTGAGATTCAACGTGTAAAAGTCCCTACATGTGGTGTCAGGATTAGTAGAACAAACTAGTCGATAACCGATTGTAACAGTGTGTTTGTGTGGGTGTGGAAGGGGTTGGACACCGGATGGTACAGGATCCATCTCACATGGATTAATACAGTATTCTCCTCCTCCTCCTCCTCCTCCTCCTCCTCCTCCTCCTCCCCCTCCTCCCCCTCCTCCTCCTCCCCCTCCCCCTCCCCCTCCTCCTCATTCTTCTCCTCCTCCTCATCCTCCCCCTCCTCCTCCTCCTCCTCCTCCTCCTCCTCCTTCTTCTTCTTCTTCAGTCGTGCCGCAGTACGTGTGAGGCGGTGAGGAAGGGGTGTGGCCATGCGTTCGAGGGCATCGACATGGCGTGGCCTTACTTCCTAGACTGTGACCGGTTCTTCGCCAGCGAACAGGAAGGCTGTCACGACCCGCTGGCCCCGTTAAGAGGTAGCCCTAATGGAATTGTACATGTTAAAAACGTGTTGGATATTTAATAATTACACAATATGAGTTTTTACTGTACTGCAACGCATTGAATTTTATCTTCCTGTCTTAGCATTCACAAACACCTTAAAAGATAGTTTGGACGGAGTGCATTTTTAGTTCCTAAATACATTACAAATGTATTGGAAAGAGCTTACGAAGGAATTTAACATCCCATGGATGAAACGTGTTAGAATTGCAATCGTAATGTGTGTCCCGGATATTGAAATCAGTGTCAGAAAACCCATTATGTTCAATTCAGGTAATCTCCCTCCCCCTTCCTCCCTATCTCTCCCCCCCCCGCCCCCGCCCCCGCCCCCGCCCCCCGCCCCCGCCCCCTCTCCTCCTCCGCCCCCCCCCCCCCCCCCCCCCCCCCTTCAGCCAGACAGGAAGTGGCTTTCTCCAACCTGTCTCCAGACGAACCCTCCACCATCATTCAGTTCACATACCACTCCAACGCCCAGATGTACAGCGTTCTGAAGAGGACCGCTGCCAAGTGCTCCCACATCTCCAAAACCTACAGGTACTGGTCGTTGTCTGCTGCTGTTTTTGACATGAAATATCCCCTCGGGGGACCAATAAAGTACCTCTCTATCTATCTACAGTATCGGACGCAGCACAGAGGGGAAAGACCTCCTGGCCATAGAGTTCACAGACAACCCCGGAGGGCACGAACTACGTGAGTGTGTAGTGATTTAAGGTGTTGTGATTTCTGGGGGTTTGAACTGCACAGCAATGGGGGCAAAGTGATCTAGGGAGCCTATTGATACATGGCAAGTTGAGTACCTCCTGCACCTTTAACGTCTTCTAACATGAACTTTGACACAGGTTTAGTCCTTCTTGAGCAATCTTTCCTGTCTCTCTACCCCTCTCTCACCCCCTCCCCTCCTCCCCCATCTCTCCTTCCCTCCTCCCCTCCTCCCCCATCTCTCCTTCCCTCCTCCCACCTCCCCTCCTCCCCCATCTCTCCCTCATCTCTCCCTCCCCCCTCCTCCCCCATCTCTCCCTCCCTCCTCCCCCATCTCTCCCTCATCTCTCACCCCCTCCCCTCCTCCCCCATCTCTCCCTCTCTCCTCCCCCCCTCCCCTCCTCCCCCATCTCCCCCCCCCCCCCCCTCCTCCCCCATCTCTCCCTCCCTCATCCTCCCCCATCTCCTCCTCCCCATATCTCCTCCCCCATATCTCCTCCCCCCATCTCTCCTTCACCTCCTCCCCATATTTCCTCCCTCATCCTCCCCATCTCTCCCTCCCCCATCTCTCCCTCCCCTCCTCCCCCACCTCTCCTCCCCTCCCCCCCTCCCCCCTCCTCCCCCTCTCCTCCCCTCCCCCCCTCCCCCCCTCCTCCCCCACCTCTCCCCTCCCCCCTCCTCAGTGGAACCAGAGATCAAGCTGGTTGGCAACATGCATGGCAACGAGGTCCTGGGTCGCCAACTGCTGCTCTACCTGGCCCAGTACCTGTGTTCCGAGTATCTCCTTGGCAACCAGCGCATCCAGACGCTCGTCAACACCACGCGCGTCCACATCCTGGCGTCCATGAACCCCGACGGTTATGAGCTGGCGGCCGCCGAGGTAGAGGCTAGCAACGACCCGGAACAACAACCACACTACAACCAGGAAGTAAATCACAGATGAATAAAAAACGTCGAAGCCGGTCCGACCAACCGCCGCATAGAGATAGAAGGAGGCCACGCCTCCTATCTTCTCCATAGAGATAGAAAGAGGCCACGCCTCCTATATTCTCCATAGGGATAGAAAGAGGCCACGCCTCCTATCTTCTCCAGTATAGCGTCTGTGACAGCATGGGTGGGGGCACTCTCTTTCTAAGCCCGCCCCTTTCCAACTGCCTATCATCTACCTGAGCTCTCCTATTGGTCTAGCCCCTCCCACTACCAGAGAGAGAGAGAGTGATAGTGTCCTTAACCAATCAGCAAGACCAGTCAGTAAGACTGTTGTCATGGAAACGCAATGACTTTATTTTTTTGGGTGTAACCGTGTTTAAGGTCGAAAAAAAAAACAAGGACCTGAACCTTCTTAACACTGCTAGAAATCCCAAAACACAAGTTTTTCTTCCCACAACAAATAATTGATATTTAATAGATAGAACTTCTAGATGTTTTCCCCAACAGCTGGCAGTGGGAAGATCTATTCTCTTCTTCTTCTTCTTCATTTCTGTCTTCTTCACACAAACAGCATGTCCTGTCTGCTACTGGACAGCTTGTTCTCTCCAGACGGAGACATAGTCTGGCCCAAACGGCCCAAAATGTTCTCTCCAGACGGAGACATAGTCTGGCCCAAATGGCCCAAAAAGTAATGCACTATATAGGGAATGATCATTGTGACTTGACTGGGAAAATCTCTGGGCCCTCATCCGGTCACATGGTCAAGGAAACACTCCTGACCTCTTATAGTCATCCTATCCAATCACATTCTTCTAATCGACATGACTTCCATTACCCATGATGCTTCACTCTTCACTCCTCACCGTCATGGTCCTGCAGGGTCGTGTGGTGTTGAACCATGTCTAGGGTCACAATCTCTACCGTGTGTCTGTGTCTGTGTGTGTGTGTGTGTGTGTGTGTGTGTGTGTGTCTGTGTCTGTGTCTGTGTCGTGTCTGTGTCTGTGTCTGTGTGTGTGTGTGTGTGTGTGTGTGTGTGTGCAGGGTCACGAGCTCAACGGTTGGACGGTGGGTCGCACCAACGCTCAGAACCTAGACTTGAACCGGAACTTTCCTGACCTGACTTCTATTCTCTACCGGAATCGCAGGATCAAAGGTTTCCGCACCGACCACATCCCCATCCCAGACTCTTACTGGTTTGGTAAGGTATGTAGCCACAACTCGCTACATTGGTGTCGGAAGTGGGATGGCGCCAGTGAGGCCATCGGAGAGGTGTGACACATGAGGGTTTTAACGAGCTTCTCTGTAGCAAGTCCCTCAGGTGTACGTACGTAACTCTCCGATGGTATGGGAACTTAGCTTTTTGTTGGTTTGGATAAGTATAGGACATTCCTCCTGTTTTGGTAAGGTATTTACAAGAGGTGTGCCGAGTATTTGGACAAAACCAGTATGGTAAGGGATTTGCGCAATTTTCAGGATCCGATAAATGATGCAAATATCTTTGTCATGATCTGTGATGGGGAAAACAACCATCTCTCTCATGTCACTCAAACAGTGTGAGGTGGTGATCCTCTGAATAACTGAATTCTGCTGTCTGTGAAGAAATAGGCAGTTGATCCTGCTGCTTGGACAGAGCAAAACTCTCCTCTCTCCTCTCCTCTCTCCTCTCCTCTCTCCCCCTCTCCGCTCCTCTCCTCTCTCCTCTCCTCTCTCCTCTCCTCTCTCCCCCTCTCCTCCCCTCTCCTCTCTCCTCTCCTCTCTCCTCTCTTCTCTCCCCCTCTCCTCTCCTCTCTCCTCTTCTCCGTCTCTCCTCTCAGGTAGCTTCAGAGACCTATGCAGTGATGAAGTGGATCAGGTCTGTGCCGTTTGTCCAGTCTGCTAGCCTCCATGGTGGAGAGCTGGTGATCTCTTATCCCTTTGACTTCTCCAGACACCTCCATGAAGAGAGGATGTTCTCCCCTACACCTGATGAACAGGTACCCTGTCCTATCCTACACCTGACCAACAGGTACCCTGTCCTATCCTACACCTGACCAACAGGTACCCTGTCCTACACCTGACCAACAGGTACCCTGTCCTATCCTACACCTGACCAACAGGTACCCTGTCCTATCCCCACACCTGACCAACAGTACCTGTCCTACACCTGACCACGGGTACCCTGTCCTATCCTACACCCTACCAACAGGTACCCCTGTCCTACACCTGACCAACGGGTACCCTGTCCTATCTACACCCTGACCACAGGTTACCCCTGTCCTACACCTGACCAACGGTACCCTGTCCTTTCCTACACCGACCAACAGTACCCTGTCCCTGTCCTACACCTGACCACAGTACCCTGTCCTATCCTACACCTGACCAACAGGTACCCTGTCCTGTCCTACACCTGACCAACAGGTACCCTGTCCTGTCCTACACCTGACCAACAGGTACCCTGTCCTATCCTACACCTGACCACAGGTACCCCTGTCCTGTCCTACCTGACCAACAGGTACCCTGTCCTATCCTATACCTGACCAACAGTACCCTTCCTGACACCTGACCAACAGGTACCCTGTCCCTACACCTGACCAACAGGTACCCTGTCCCTGTCCTACACCTGACCAACAGGTACCCTGTCCTACACCTGACCAACAGGTACCCTGTCCTATCCTATACCTGACCAGCAGGTACCCTGTCCTACACCTGACCAACAGGTACCCTGTCCTATCCTACACCTGACCAACAGGTACCCTGTCCTATCCTACACCGACCAACAGGTTACCCTGTCCTATCCTAATACCTGACCAGCAGTACCGCTGTCCTACACCGACCAACAGGTACCCTGTCCTATCCTACACCTGACCAACAGGTACCCTGTCCTATCCTACACCTGACCAACAGGTACCCTGTCCTGTCCTACACCTGATGAACAGGTACCCTGTCCTACACATAGTTTATGTCAGGTGTGAAAACCTCTTCTGTTCTGAGGCCCACTGAATTCTTGGGGACAGATTTTACATTTTAAAGAGTGTGACTGTTTTCCTCTCTGCAGGGCTTTTAAGGCAGCTGCCCGGACGTACGCAGACTCTCACGCCAGCATGGCCGACACCACACAGAGGGTGATATCTTTTAAGGTTTCACTTTTAAGGTATCTATTCCCCCCTTGTTAGATTACGTTAAAATTTCTATTTCTATTAGGTTTTGAGCTCCTTCATCAGGAGCGGAGGCATCATCAACGGAGCTCTGTGGTACAGCTTCCCAGGGGGTATGGAAACTTCTGTCTCTTCTCTCCTCCTCTCCTCTACGGAACCTTCTATCTCTTCTCTCCTCTCCTCTACGGAACCTTCTATCTCTTCTCTCCTCTCCTCTACAGAACCTTCTATCTCTTCTCTCCTCCTCTCCTCTACGGAACCTTCTATCTCTTCTCTCCTCCTCTCCTCTATGGAACCTTCTATCTCTTCTCTCCTCTCCTCTACGGAACCTATCTCTTCTCTCCTCCTCTCCTCTACGGAACCTTCTATCTCTTCTCTCCTCTCCTCTACGGAACCTATCTCTTCTCTCCTCCTCTCCTCTACGGAACCTTCTATCTCTTCTCTCCTCTCCTCTACGGAACCTTCTATCTCTTCTCTCCTCTCCTCTACGGAACCTTCTATCTCTTCTCTCCTCTCCTCTACGGAACCTTCTATCTCTTCTCTCCTCTCCTCTATGGAACCTTCTATCTCTTCTCTCGCTCTCCTCTACGGAACCTTTATCTCTTCTTTTCCTCCCTCTCCTCTATGACACCTTCTATCTCTTCTCTCCCTCCTCTACGGAACCTTCTATCTCTTCTCCCCCTCCTCCCTCCCTACGGACCTTCTATCTCTTATCTCCTCTCCTCAGAACCTTTCTATCTCTTCTTTCTCCTCCTCTCCTCTAACGGGACCTTCAAATCTCTTCTCTCCTCTCCTCTAAACGAACCTTTCTGTCTCTCCTTTCCTCCTCTCCTCACCTTCCCCTTCTCTTTTCCTGTATTCTGTGTGTTAACTCTCAGTACTGTGTGGTGTGTGTGTGTGTGTGTGTGTGTGTGTGTGTGTGTATATATCTAAGGTTTGTGTGTCTAGTGTGTATATATCTAAGGTGTGTGTGTGTGTGTGTCTAGTGTATATATCTAAGATGTGTGTGTGTGTCTAGTGTGTATATATCTAAGGTGTGTGTGTGTTGTTTTGGTGGGTGTGTGGGGTGGTGTCAGTGTATATATCTAAGGTGTGTGTGTCTAGTGTTATATCAAAGGTGTGTGGGGTGTGTCTAGTGTATATATCTAAGGTGTGTGGTGTGTGTCCTAGTGTAATATCAAGGTGTGTGTGTGTGTTTTTCTAGTGTATATATCTAGGTGTGTGTGTTTTCTAGTGTATATATCTAAGGTTGTGTGTGTGTCTAGTGTATATATCTAAGGTGTGTGTGTGTGTCTAGTGTATATATCTAAGGTGTGTGTGTGTCTAGTGTATATATCTAAGGTGTGTGTGTGTGTGTCTAGTGTATATATCTAAGGTGTGTGTGTGGTCTAGTGTTATATCTAAGGTGTGTGTGTGTGTCTAGTGTATATATAAGGTGTGTGTGTGTCTAGTGTATATATCTAAGGTGTGTGTGTGTGTCTAGTGTATATATCTAAGGTGTGTGTGTGGTGTGTGTGTGTGGGTGTCTAGTTTTAAAAGATCTAAAGGTGTGTGTGTGTCAGTGTATTTCTAGGTGTGTGTGGTCTAGTGAAATTATCTAAGGGTTTGTGTTGTGTGTGTGTCTAGTGTATTACCCTAAGGTTGTGTGTGTCTATGTATATATCTAAGGTGTGGTGTGTGTCTAGTGTAATATCTAAGGTTTGTGTGTGTCTAGTGTATATATCTGGGTGTGTGTGTGTGTCTAGTGTATATATCTAAGGTGTGTTGTGGTGTGGTGTGTGTGTGTGTGTTTTGTGTGTGTGTGGTGTCTATGTATATATCAAAGGGTGTTGTTGTGTGTGTGTGTGTCTATGTATATATCAAGGTGTTGTGTGTGTGTCTAGTGTAAAATATCAAAGGGTTTGGGGTGTGTATATATCTAAGGTGTGTGTGTGTGTCTAGTGTATATATCAAAGGGTGTGGTGTGTGTGTGTGTGTTGTCTAGTGTATATCTAAGGTGTGTGGGGTGGGGTCAGTGTATATACTAGGTGTGGTGTGTGTGGTGTGTGTGGGTGGTGTGTGTGTGTGTGTGTATATGTTTGTGTGTGTTGTGTGTGTGTGTGTGTGTGGTGTGTCTAGTGTATATATCTAAGGTGTGTGTGTGTCTAGTGTATATATCTAAGGTGTGTGTGTGTGTCTAGTGTATATATCTAAGGTGTGTGTGTGTGTCTAGTGTATATATCTAAGGTGTGTGTGTGTTTGTGTGTGTGTTGTGTGTTGTGTGTGTCTAGTGTTATATCTAAGGGGGTGTGTGTTGTGTTTCCTAGTGTATATCTAGGTGGTGGTGTGTCTAGTGTATATATCTAAGGTGTGTGTTTGGTCTATGAAATATATCTAGGTGGTTGTGTGTGTCTAGTGTATATATCAAAGGTGTGTGGTGTGTCTAGTGTATATATCTAAGGTGGTTGTGTGGTCTAGTGTATATATCTAAGGTTGTGTGTGTGTTAGTGTATATTTTCTAAGGTGTATGGTGTGTCTAGTGTATATATCTAAGGTGTGTGTGGTTGGTGTGGGGTTTTGTGTTGTGTGTCTAGTGTATATATCAAAGGGTTTGTGTGTGTGTGTCTAGTGTATATATCTAAGGTGTGTGTGTGATGTCTCCGGTACCGTAGGTATGTCAGACTTTAACTACCTCCACACTAACTGTCTGGAGATCACGGTGGAGCTGGGCTGTGACAAGTTCCCTTCTGAAGAGGAGCTCTACCCAGAGTGGCTCAGGAACAAGGAGGCCCTGCTCAGTTTCATGGAGTCGGTGGGTCTGCGCCTCTGTAGCCCAGCGACCAGGCAGCCATTTTGTGCCGTAGTTATACTGTAGAAGTGTGTATGTGTTATCTACAGGAGGACAGCTGGCTCTTTGGAATGGCTGGAATGGAATACATGGAACGGTAATATGGAACAGATGGAAACGTGTTTGATACCGTTCCATTCATTCCAATATAGCCGTTACAATGAGCTGACACCTTAGTATTTATTTTCACCAGCCTCCACTGACCTCATCATTCCCTGCCATTCGCTGATAGGTTAGAAACTTCCTGAAACTTTCCCAAAATGTCCTGGGTTTCTAGAAATCCTGATTGGAAGATTCCTGGAATCAGGAGGGGAAAAAGCAGTCAATCCTATTCCCTGTTGCTCCATGATATCCATGTCATTCCCCTAGCCTGATATTCCCTGATGTTCTTCCCTGTCGTTCCTGCTGCAGGTCCACAGAGGTATAAAGGGTGTGGTGAAGGATGAGGAGGGCTATGGAAAAAGGGAGCGTCCCATATCTGTCCAGGGGAATACGTAAAGATGTCAACCACAGTAACCACCACAGTAACTGTTAGCCGTAGTTCAGGATCATGTCTGCGTCCCAGACGGCTACTTCTGAGCCAGGGTGAGGGAGGGAGAGATACGGGGGAGGAGAGGATGAGGGAGGGAGAGATGAGGGGGAGGAGGAGGGTGAGAGAGGGGTAGAGAGACAGGAAAGATTGCTGAAGAAGGACAAAACCTGTAGGATCACTGTGTAGGAAATAAGGTTTCATTTTGGGACGTGGACCATAACTGGTTCATAATTGAGCTTTTTCCAGATGCTCCAGCGTTTCCTCCACTGGTGGGGAATGTAGAGACGTCGGAGCAGTTTACAACGCAAAATGACAATAAACATTATTCTGACATTGCGTCATCACTGGAGAGACGTGATATCAAGAACCAACATTTTTCTCAATGGGGGTTCCCTGTAAAACAATGTCACGTATCCCTCCCTCCCCCCCCTCCCGCCCCCCCCCCCCCCCCCCTCTCTCTCCTCTCTCTCTCTCACTCTCTCTCTCTCCTCCTCTCGCTCTCCTCTCTCCTCTCTCCCTCGCTCCCTCCCTCTCATCCCTCTCTCATCCTCCTCCCTCCTTCCCTCTCTCTCTCTCTCTCTCTCCCCCTCCCCTCCCTCCCTGCCCTCCCTCCATCCCTCCCTCCCTCCTCTCTCGCATCCTCTCATCCCCTCTCCCTCCCTCCTGCCCTCCCCTTCTTCTCTGTGTGGGGGGGGGGCATCCTCTCCTCCCTCTCTCTTCTCCATCTCCCTCTCTCGTCTCCGCCATCTCCCATCTCTCAATCAAGCTGGCGCGTCCTCGCACTCCTCTCTCTCTCTCTCTCTTCCTCTCTCCATTCCTCCCTCATCTCTCCTCGTCTCTCCTCGTCTCTCTCTCTCCTCTCTATCTCTCGAGTCTCTCCTCGTCTTCCGCCTCCTCTCACTCTCGGGCCATCCTCTCTCCTCGTCAATTCTCTCCTCTCCCATCTCCCATCCGCCCTCCCGAATCCCTCTCCAACAATGGAGGGTCCCATCTCCCTCCCTCTACCTCCCCTCCCGCCTCTCCTCGAGTTCTCGAGTATCGTCCTCGTCGGCGCTCTCCTCATCCTCTCTCTCCCTACAGCGGAGGATGGACGTGTTACTGAGGTTAATGAACTCAGGAACCCACTCATAAAAACAGCGGCAGCTAAAGTTTTACCCAAGTCAGCACGAGAATTTACCTGTCCTGCTCACATGGATACCCTGGCCGGGTCGATTCGTGCTCAAAAGGTACTTGTAAGTTAGTGGTTTATCTGTGGATGTTTTTTGTGTCAGATCGTGATTCCGATAGTGATTTTGATGTCAGTGTCATGAGACTGAGATATATTATGGTTTGATGTCAGTGTCAGGATAATCTGAGATATGTGATGTTTGATGTCAGTTCATGATATCTGAGATATATGATTTGATGTCATCATTGTTCATATACCTGAATGTATGATGGTTATGTCAGAGTGGTCCTTATATCTGAAGATATTTATGTTGATGTCAGTGTCATGATAATCGAGATATTATGATGTTTGATGTCAGTGTCATGAATACTGAGATATCTGATGTTTGATGTCCAGTGGCCTGATCTCTGAGATAGATGAATGTTTGAGGTCAGTGTCATATATCTGAGATATATTATGTTGTGTCAGTCTCATGATATCTGAGATGTTATGATGTTGATGTCAATGGTCATTATATCTGAGATATATGATGGTTTGAATGGCAGTGTCATGATATCTGAGATATAATGATGTTTGATGTCAGTGTCATGATATCTGATTAATATGATTTTGATGTCAGTGTCATGATAATCTGAGATGTATGATGTTGTGATGTCATTGTCATGATATCTGAGATATATGATGTTTGATGTCATGTCATGATATCTGAGATTGTATGAATTAGATGGTCAGTGTCATATATCTTAGATATATGATGTTTGATGTCGTTTCATTATAATCTGAGATATATGATGTTGAGTCGTGTCATTATATCTGCGATATATGAGTTTAATGTCAGTGTCATGATCTCTGAGATATAATGTTCCTCCACGTCCTCTTCCCCTCCTACCCTCCTCCCCTCCTCCTCCTCCTCCTCTCCTCCTCCTCCTCCCTCCTCCTTCCCTCCTCTCCAGGGTCTTCATCAGTAAACCAGACACACCTGTTTGTGTTCCATTTCCTATCCCCCTCCCCCCTCCTCCCTCCTTCCCTCTCCCACTCCCCCCTCCCCCCTCTCCCCTCTCCCCCCCTCCCCCCTCCTCCCTCCCTCTCCTCCTCGCCTCCCTCTCCCGCTCCCCCCTCCTCCCCCCTCCGCCCCTCTCCCCTCGCTCCCCTCCGCCTCCCCCCCTCCTCCCTCTCCCCTCTCCCTCCCTCTCCCCTCTCCCTCTCTCCTCTCACTCTCCCCTCCCTCTCTCCTCTCTCCCCCCTCCTCCTCCCCCCTCCCCCCTCTCCCTCTCCCCGTCATCCCCTCTCCCCTCGATCAACCCTCTCCCCTCTCCCCTCGTCCCCATCTCCTCCCTTTCCTCCTCTTCGTCCCTCTTCCCCTCCCTCTCCCTTCTCCCCCCCTCTCCTCCCTCCTTCCCCTCTCCCCCCTCCTCCCTCACCTCCCTCTCCCTCTCACCTACCTCTCATTAAAAATATTTCTGTCCCTCTCCTCCAGGTCCCTGTACAGCCAGTAGGACCAGACTACCACCTGTTCCTCAGCTCCTCCCTGGACACCTACGACCGCTTCGACCCCTACAACCAGTTCCAGCGCTACGGCCGCACCGAGCCGGGAGAACCGGGAGAACCCAGGGAACCGGGGATGGGAGGGGAACCGGGGATGGGAGGAGAGCGTCAGGAGAAGCCGTGGTGGTGGAATTACTTACCCAGGCAGGGGTCTCAGCTCCCACCTGGCTGCTACGCAAACTAGAGGACTGGACAGGATAAAGACTAGACTGAAATGGCACACTATTCCCTTATTTAGTGCACTACCTTTGACCAGAGCCCATAGGGCAGAGGGCAGGGGTCCTTCCTTGTAGTATGCATCCCAAATGGCACCCCTTTTCCTTATATAGTGCACCCTATTCCCTATATAGTGCACAGCTGTATAGGACTATTTGGAATGCCTCCTACAAGTCGAGGCATGAATTGGTTCTCAATCTTTTTTGGTTTCTGTCCCCCATCACATTTAGCTCTGGCCGGAGTACCACCAACGTTCCCCTCATGTTACCAGAAGGCCTGTGTTCTGATCAGTCTTCCTAAGTAAGCTACGCCCGGTAGATATGACCCCCGTCCCCCAGGGGGTCTGAACATGTGTTGTGTCCTGACCAGGAAAGACTCTGGGCTCCCATTCAGATATTGGGTGTTCTATTTAGAATGTTTCATTAAGTCATTCTAATCACAACATTCTGCCTTCCTCAGTGTTCTATTTAGAATGTTTCATTAAGTCATTCTAATCACAACGTTCTGCCTTCCTCAGTGTTCTATTTAGAATGTTTCATTAAGTCATTCTAATCACAACATTCCTCCTCTGAGTTCTGCCTTCCTCAGTGTTCTAATAATGCTTCTGTTTCAATGTATTTCTGTTACAACAAGTAGACTTGAGGATCTAACAGGTTGGGACACACACAAACTCCTCTTTGCCTCTTAGTGGGGCTCATTTGTCATTTTTAAGGATTGGGGGCAAATTCTAAACACACAGACGGCTGGTGAAGAATTACTGCCTTCAGGACTCAGCATGTCTAAAGATAGTCCGCTCCTCTCTGCCTCTCCCCCCCCCCCCCCCCCCCCCCCCCCCCCACCCTACCCTGAGTTGGAGAACACTGTTCTAGACACTGGTCAGTGGTGGTCAAACTTTCTATGGCCCCTATCTATTTCCTTCACTATGTTGACAAGGGCCCATTGGCTCTGACAGAGACGTTGACCAGGGCCCTGACGGAGACGTTGACCAGGGCCCATGTGAAAAGAAGAGCTAATGTCAGCTGTGTCAGTCTATAGCCTACCAGAATCACAAACATCTTCATAAATCACTATTAGATGTTTTGTCCGACTAATGTTTTTAATTTCAGATTGGATTAATAATGTATAAAGGGATGAACAATCCATTTGTTTTGCTGTTTTTTGTGATTAGGATGTCATTAACAATACTCACCACTGGATGGCGCCACAGTACACGGAAAAAAAAAAAACGCCAGGCATTCACGCTGCTTTGATGGGAGATGTAATGAGTTATTTTAACCACTAGAGGGCGTAATCGTACATGAAATGAATACCAGCTCACCTTTCACCCACAGGGGTGGAAATGAAACTATTCACGGAGAATGAAAAACAAGAGAGTAGACAGATGAGTAACAGTCCAGGCTTTCGGGTTTAGAGAGATTATGTTATTCAAGTCTGTGCTAGGTCCCAATTATCTCTCCTTCCTGCTGAAGTGTGCACTCGTTCACTAGGCCTACTGCTCACAAATGTAAAAAGCGTTGGGGATTGGTGTCGTTGGAGACATTGGCTAGAGAGAGTTCCGCATCCCAGTCATTCCCTTTCAAATCTATGAAAGGGAAACGAACAAGTGCACACTTAGGGGGGAGAAAGGAGAGATAATTTGGGACGCACAAAAGGCTTATAGCATGGCTACAGTCAGTTATTCTCCTATTAGCGACACAAAGGGAGGCAAGAGAATTCAATAGCTAGAAAGTAGTGAGTAGCCTGTAGGCTATCTTTTCTAGGCTAATTATACTGAAGAAACATATAAGAAAAAAACGCAAATTTCAAAGGTTTACTGATTTTACAGTTCATATAAGGCATCTGTCAATTGAAATACTTCATTATGCACTAATCATGGATTTCACATGACTGGGCAGGGTTGCAGCCGTGGGGGTCCTGGGAGGGCATAGGGCCCACCCATCTGGAGAGCCAGGCCCAGCCAATCAGAATGAGTTTTCCCCCTTCCCCCCACAAAAGGTCTTTTAGTCATCAGAAATACTCCTCAGTTTCATCAGCTGTCCAGTTGGCGTCTCAGACAGTCCCCGCATGTGAAGAACCGGATGTGGAGGTCCTGGACTGGCGTGGTTCACGTGTCGGGGATGTCCTGGCGGCGTGGTTTACAACTTTGTCCTGGGGAGGTCCTGGGCTGGTGTGGTTACACGTGGTCTGTGGGGTATGGTCCGGGCTTGGCTTGGTTTCCACTGGTCTGGGGAGGGTCCTGGGCTGGGTGTGGTTACACCGTGGTCTGGAGTCCTGGGCTGGCGTGTTTCACACACGTGGTCTGGGGAGGTCCTGGTGGCTGGTTGTGGTTACACGTGGTCTGGGGAGGTCCTGGGCTGTGGGCGTGGTTACAACGTGGTCGGGGGAGGTCCTGGGCTGGCGTGGTTACACGTGGTCTGGGAGGTCCTGGGCTGGTGGGTTACACGTGGTCTGGGGAGGTCCTGTGGCTGGCGTGTTCACGTGGTCTGGGAGGGTCCTGGCTGGTGGGTTACACGTTGGGTCTGGGGATTCCTGGGCTGGCGGGTTACACGTGGTCTGGGGAGGTCTGGGCTGGGCGTGGTTACACGTGGTCCTCTGGGGAGGTCCTGGGCTGGTTGGTTACACGTGTCCTGGGGAGGGTCACTGGGCTGGGCGTGGTTACACTTGGTCTGGGGAGGTCCTGGGGGGCTGGCGTGGTTACACGTGGTCTGGGGGAGGTCTGGGGGCTGTGGCTTGGTTCCACTTGTCCCTGGGGAGGTCCTGCTGGGCTGGTGTTGTTACCCACGTGGTCTGGGGATGGTCCCCTGGCTGGGCGTGGTTTACAACGTGGTCTGGGGAGGTCCTGGCTGGCCGTGGAGGTCCTTGGGCTGGCGTGGTTACTCGTGGTCTGGGAGGTCCTTGGGCTGGCGTGGTTACACGTGGTCCTGGGGAGGGCCTGGGCTGGTGGCGTGGTTACAACCGTGCGTCTGGGGAGTCCTGGGCTGGCGTGGTTATACGTGGTCTGTGAGATCCTTGGCTGGGGCGTTACACGTGGTCTGGGAGGTCCTGGGCTGGCGCGGTTACACTTGGTCTGGGGAGGGTCCTGGGCTGACGTGGTTACACTGGTCGGGGGGGAGGTCCTGGCTGGCGTGGTTGTTTTCCCCGTGGTCTGGGGAGGTCCTGGGCTGGCGTGGTTTACACCGTGGTTTCTTGGAGGTCCTGGGCTGGCGTGGTTACACGTAGTCTGGGGAGGCCTGGGCTGGCGTGGGGGGACACGTGGTCCGGGAGGCCGGGGGGCTGGGGGCCGGTTACACGTGGTCTGGGGAGGTCCTGGGCTGGCGCTGGTTACACGTGGTCTGGGGAGGGTCCTGGGCTGGCGTGGTTACACGTGGTCTGGGGAGGTCCTGGGCTGGCGTGGTTACACGTGGGTCTGGGGAGGTCCTGGGCTGGCGTGGTTACACGTGGTCTGGGGAGGGTCCTGGGCGGGGTGGGGGCCGGCTGGCTGTGGTTACACGTGGTCTGGGGAGGTCCTGGGCTGGCGTGGTTACACGTGGTCTGGGGAGGTCCTGGGCTGGCGTGGTTACAGTGGGTCTGGGGAGGTCCTGGGCTGGCGTGGTTACACGTGGTCTGGGGAGGTCCTGGGCTGGCGCGGTTACACGTGGTTCTGGGGAGGTCTGGGCTGACGTGGTTACACGTGTATGGGGAGGGTCCTGGGCTGGCGTGGTTACACGTGGTCTGGGGAGGTCCTGGGCTGGCGTGGTTACACATGGTCTGGGGAGGTCCTGGGCTGACGCGGTTACACGTGGTCTGCGGTTGTGAGGCCGGTTGAACGTTTCTGCCAAATTCTCTAAAATAACGTTGGAGACGGCTTATGGTAGAGAAATGAACATTCAATTTTCTGGCAACAGCTCTGGTGGACATTCCTGCAGTCAGCATGCCAATTTGCACGCTCCCGCAAAACTTGAGACATCTGTGTCATTGTGTAGTGTGACAAAATTGCACATTTTTTAAAGTGGCCTTTTAGTGTCCCCAGCACAAGGTGCACCTGTGTAATGATCAGGCTGTTTAATCTGCTTCTTGATATGCCACACTTTTGTCAGCTGGATGGATTATATTGGCAAAGGAGAAATAAGGTTTTTGTGCGTATGGAACCTTTCGGGGATCTTTTATTTCAGCTCATGAAACATGGGACCAACACTTTCCCTGAGGCCTACTCTACCACATCACTGTGAACACACACATATACACTGAACTAAAATACACTGAACTAAAATACACTGAACTAATATACACTGAACTAAAATACACTGAACTAAAATACACTGAACTAAAATACACTGAACTAAAATACACTGAACTAAAATACACTGAACTAATATACACTGAACTAAAATACACTGAACTAAAATACACTGAACTAATATACACTGAACTAAAATACACTGAACTAAAATACACTGAACTAAAATACACTGAACTAAAGCAGTACATTCTGAAAAGGTTCCTGGACGACCCTTCGGGGGTTTCTTCAAACTGAAACACCCTTCGGGGGTTCTTCAAAAGGAATCCTTCGGGGAGGGGGGAATGCCTATCTATTAGTCCTTCTTTAAAAGGAAATAACCCCTTTTAATGGATCCTCAAATAACCTTTTGATAAACCTTTTGAATAACCTTTTGGGGTTCATTGTTATTAATAATTGTTATTATTAATAATAATCAGCATAACAATACTATTATGAACAACAACAACACCATATTTTAGTTGTCAGTTTATTATGATTTTAGTGGCAAAGAAGAATTCAAAAATCCAAATATGAGGTCAACTCCCAGCAGAGCCCCATGTCCAGTGGGTATATCCTCTGGCGTGTTGATGTTCATGTCCTCTGTATCCATCCCCAAAAACACTTCAGTAAATACTACAGTATACTGCAGTCCTCAAAAACAGTATATACTACAGTTTTCTTATACTACAGTATACTCTATAGTGTTTTTTCATGTTTTCTTTCCAGGTCTGTGTTGTCTCTCTCTCTCTCTCTCTCTCTCTCTCTCTCTCTCTGTGTCTCCCTCTGTTCCTCTCTCTCGCCCTCTCCTTTCTCTCCTCTCTCCCTCTCCTTTCTCTCCTCTCTCTCTCTCTCCCTCTCTCTCTCTCTCTCGCTCTCGCTCTCGCTCTCGCTCTCTGTATCTGCTAGGCCCCGGGAGGGGAGGCCTGCTCAATGTGGCAGAGATCATTTGTTTGCTTTGCAATTATTTTCCATCAGTGGACACAAATTGATTCAAACAGTACACAGAGGGAGAGAGAGAGAAACAGAGGGAGAGAGGGAGACAGATGGACAGAGAGAGAGAGGAGGGAGACAGAGAGAGGGAGAGAGGGAGACACAGAGGGATAGAGGGAGACAGATGGAGAGAGAGAGAGAGAGAGAGAGAGAGAGAGAGAGAGAGAGAGAGAGACTGAGAGAAGGGGGAGAGAGAGATTTTAGAATAAGGCTGTATCGTAACAATGTGGAAAAAGTCAAGGGGTCTGAAGACTTTCCGAAAGCACAGTACACTAGGTTCACTAGGAGACAACAACCTCTCTCCCTCAACGTGACTGCAGTAGAAAGAGTCACCGTCCACATCCCAGAGGACTTGCCATGGACCAACAACATCACCCACCTCTCTTGTCAAGATGGCCCTAACAGCCTCTGTACTTCCTAAGGCGACTGAAGAGGCATGCCGTCCCGGGTCCTCTCCAAATACCACCGCTGCACCATCGAGAGCGTCCAGAACGGTTTCATCACGGGAATTGCTCCGTCCACGACCGCAGCGTCCCTCCAGCGGGTGGTGAAGATGGCCCAGTACATCACTGGGACCGTGCTCCCACCCATCCAGGACATCACTGGGACCGTGCTCCCACCCATCCAGGACATCACTGGGACCGTGCTCCCACCCATCCAGGACATCACTGGGACTGTTTCTGTGTGTGTGTTTCTGTGTGTTTCTGTGTGTGTGTTTCTGTGTGTGTGTGTGTGTGTGTGTGTGTGTGTGTGTGTGTGTGTGTGTGTGTGTTTCTCTGTGTGTGTGTGTGTTTGTGTGTGATCGCTGTAAGTCACTTCCTTCCAAAAACATGCATACAACCACAGACTTACCCACCCCTCTCCCTCCCTCACCCCTCCTCACCCTCATCCTCTCACAATGGCCGTCACAGGAGCTTACTGAAAATGTCCTGTGATATCTCTCTCCTTGGTGTTGTTTTGAGATCTCGTCCCAAATGGCACCCTATTCCCTTTATAGTGCACTACTTTTAGACCAGAACTATATAGGGATTGGGATCCCAGGGCACGTAGGGTTCTGGTCAACAGTAGTGCACTACTTTTAGACCAGAACTATATAGGGATGGGGATCCCAGGGCACGTAGGGTTCTGGTCAACAGTAGTGCACTGCAAAGGGAATACGGTGCCATTTGGGACGCAGCTGGAGATTTGTCTCCCGGGAGGCGTGATGGTGGCAGGGTCGCACTGGGGTCACGCTGGGGGTCGTGACGACAATAGCAGGTAGGATCAGCTGACCCTGAAACGTATTCATTCACGCTTAGGGACCCATTAAAAAAGCACAGGTTAGGGTGAGTGGCAAATGGCACCCTATTCCCTATTATGGTGCACTACTTTAGACAAGAGGCCTATGGGTGTCCCTATGAGGATAAAGTAGTGCACTATATAGTGGGTAGGGTGCCATTTGGGAACCAGACTTTGTCTCAGCCAGAGTGTGTTTACGGTCAGAGATCCACTTCTCTCTTTCTTTCTCTGTTCGTTTTGGGTTTCTTTTTTAAATGTTCCCTCTCTCATTCTTACTTTCCTTCACTGTCAGTCAGTCAGTCAGTCAGTCTGCCTGCCTGCCTGCCTGCCTGCCTGCCTGCCTATCAGCCAGCCAGCCAGCCAGCCAGCCAGTCTGTCCTTTGTGCTTTTGTCTGTAACCAATAATATTTGTACCATGTTTTGTGCTGCTACCATGTTGTGCTGCTACCATGTTGTGCTGCTACCATGTTGTGCTGCTACCATGTTGTGTTGCTACCATGTTGTTTTCATGTTGTGTTGCTACCATGCTGTGTTGTCATGTGTTTCTGCCATGCTATGTTGTTGTCTTAGGTCTCTCTTTATGTAGTGATGTGGTGTCTCTCTTGTCGTGATGTGTGTTTTATTTTTAATCCCAGCCCCCGTCCCCGCAGCAGGCCTTTTGCCTTTTGGTAGGACATCATTATAAGTAAGAATTTGTTGTTAACTGACTTGACTAGTTAAATAAAGGTAAAAAAAAAAAAAAAAAAAAAGTATGTCTGTCTGTCTCCACCCTGTCTCTCTCTCTCTCTCCCTCTCGCTCTCTCTCTCCCTCTTCTCAATCTCTCATCTGTATAGTTCGTGGGACAGAGAAGAAAGAGAAGGGAGATGTTTAAAGGAATGTTTCTGTCTCTTTGTTGGGTAGCTGGAGGGGTTCGTATTACTGGTGACAGTTTCTTAGTCAGTCAGGCTCAACCAGAAACTGTTTACAATGCAGAAGGTCTCTATACTGTGTCTATCAGTAGTTATCCTAGCACTCAGTCCCATAGTAATGAATGTAGTACTGCTGTCTATCAGTAGTTATCCCAGACCCCAGTCCCATAGTAATGAATGTAGTACTGTCTGCATCAGTAGTTATCCTAGACCCCAGTCCCATAGTAATGAATGTAGTACTGCTGTCTATCAGTAGTTATCCTAGACCTCAGTCCCATAGTAATGAATGTAGTACTGTCTGCATCAGTAGTTATCCTAGACCCCAGTCCCATAGTAATGAATGTAGTACTGCTGTCTATCAGTAGTTATCCTAGCCCTCAGTCCCATAGTAATGAATGTAGTACTGCTGTCTGCATCAGTAGTTATCCTAGCCCTCAGTCCCATAGTAATGAATGTAGTACTGCTGTCTGCATCAGTAGTTATCCTAGACCCCAGTCCCATAGTAATGAATGTAGTACTGCTGTCTGCATCAGTAGTTATCCTAGACCTCAGTCCCATAGTAATGAATGTAGTACTGCTGTCTATCAGTAGTTATCCTAGACCCCAGTCCCATAGTAATGAATGTAGTACTGCTGTCTATCAGTAGTTATCCTAGACCTCAGTCCCATAGTAATGAATGTAGTACTGCTGTCTGCATCAGTAGTTATCCTAGACCCCAGTCCCATAGTAATGAATGTAGTACTGCTGTCTGTATCAGTAGTTATCCTAGACCTCAGTCCCATAGTAATGAATGTAGTACTGCTGTCTATCAGTAGTTATCCTAGACCCCAGTCCCATAGTAATGAATGTAGTACTGCTGTCTATCAGTAGTTATCCTAGACCCCAGTCCCATAGTAATGAATGTAGTACTGCTGTCTGCATCAGTAGTTATCCTAGCCCCCAGTCCCATAGTAATGAATGTAGTACTGTGTCTATCAGTAGTTATCCTAGACCCCAGTCCCATAGTAATGAATGTAGTACTGCTGTCTATCAGTAGTTATCCTAGACCTCAGTCCCATAGTAATGAATGTAGTACTGCTGTCTGCATCAGTAGTTATCCTAGACCTCAGTCCCATAGTAATGAATGTAGTACTGCTGTCTGCATCAGTAGTTATCATAGACCTCAGTCCCATAGTAATGAATGTAGTACTGCTGTCTGCATCAGTAGTTATCCTAGACCTCAGTCCCATAGTAATGAATGTAGTACTGCTGTCTGCATCAGTAGTTATCATAGACCTCAGTCCCATAGTAATGAATGTAGTACTGCTGTCTATCAGTAGTTACCCTAGACCCCAGTCCCATAGTAATGAATGTAGTACTGCTGTCTGCATCAGTAGTTATCATAGACCTCAGTCCCATAGTAATGAATGTAGTACTGCTGTCTATCAGTAGTTATCCCAGACCCCAGTCCCATAGTAATGAATGTAGTACTGCTGTCTGCATCAGTAGTTACCCTAGACCCCAGTCCCATAGTAATGAATGTAGTACTGTGTCTATCAGTAGTTATCCTAGACCCCAGTCCCATAGTAATGAATGTAGTACTGTGTCTATCAGTAGTTATCCTGGACCTCAGTCCCATAGTAATGAATGTAGTACTGCTGTCTATCAGTAGTTATCCCAGACCCCAGTCCCATAGTAATGAATGTAGTACTGTGTCTATCAGTAGTTATCCTAGACCCCAGTCCCATAGTAATGAATGTAGTACTGCTGTCTGCATCAGTAGTTATCCTAGACCTCAGTCCCATAGTAATGAATGTAGTACTGTGTCTATCAGTAGTTATCCTAGCCCCCAGTCCCATAGTAATGAATGTAGTACTGCTGTCTATCAGTAGTTATCCTAGACCCCAGTCCCATAGTAATGAATGTAGTACTGCTGTCTGCATCAGTAGTTACCCTAGACCCCAGTCCTATAGTAATGAATGTAGTACTGCTGTCTGCATCAGTAGTTACCCTAGACCCCAGTCCCATAGTAATGAATGTAGTACTGCTGTCTGCATCAGTAGTTATCCTAGACCCCAGTCCCATAGTAATGAATGTAGTACTGCTGTCTGCATCAGTAGTTATCCTAGACCTCAGTAGTACTCTAGGTTGTCTGTCTATACCTCATGGTCCATGCAACATTTTGTATTTTCACACTGTAAATTAGATTTTCAAATCACGAACCAAGTCGTAGAAGTGTGAATTTAAAACACACACACACACAGTTGGGTTGCGGAGTGACGACGGCCCTCTCTGGTTTCAGTGTGAGGTCAGGGGTCAAGACAGAATCGCCCTGGGCCCGGCAGTGCGTGTAACAAGACCTAGCCAGTCACTGTAGTGTGTGAGTGTGAGTGTGTGTAGTGTGTGTGTGTGTGTGTGTGAGTGTGTGTGTGTGTGTATGTGTATGTGAGTGTGTATGTGAGTGTGTATGTGAGTGTGAGTGTGAGTGTGAGTGTGAGTGTGAGTGTGTGTGAGTGTGTGTGTGTGTGTGTGTGTGTGTGTGTGTAACCTAGCCAGTCACCATTTGTGTGTAATTCTTGTATTTCCTCCTCAGGGTGACTCCTGTCATCACACACATCACTACATCTAATATAGAGACTGTTTAGGTAATAACTAGGCAGACGTAGCAAGCTTCATATATTTAGATTTGGTGGTGTGGTTATTGTAATTCAAAGGCATTTACTGAATCCCAGGAGTAAAAATACCATTATCTATTACTATTATTATGTTCAGTGGAACACCAATGACGTGTCTCCGTAGCTGGAGAGATCATTATCTAATACTGTTAATATGTTCAGTGGAACACCAATGACGTGTCTCCGTAGCTGGAGAGATCATTACCTAATACTATTATTATGTTCAGTGGAACACCAATGACGTGTCTCCGTAGCTGGAGAGATCATTACCTAATACTATTATTATGTTCAGTGGAACACCAATGACGTGTCTCCGTAGCTGGAGAGATCATTATCTAATACTACTATTATGTTCAGTGGAACACCAATGACGTGTTTCCGTAGCTGGAGAGATCATTATCTAATACTACTATTATGTTCAGTGGAACACCAATGACGTGTCTCCGTAGCTGGAGAGATCATTATCTAATACTACTATTATGTTCAGTGGAACACCAATGACGTGTCTCCGTAGCTGGAGAGATCATTATCTAATACTATTATTATGTTCAGTGGAACACCAATGACGTGTCTCCGTAGCTGGAGAGATCATTATCTAATACTACTATTATGTTCAGTGGAACACCAATGACGTGTCTCCGTAGCTGGAGAGATCATTATCTAATACTATTATTATGTTCAGTGGAACACCAATGACGTGTCTCCGTAGCTGGAGAGATCATTATCTAATACTACTATTATGTTCAGTGGAACACCAATGACGTGTCTCCGTAGCTGGAGAGATCATTATCTAATACTATTATTATGTTCAGTGGAACACCAATGACGTGTCTCCGTAGCTGGAGAGATCATTATCTAATACTATTATCATGTTCAGTGGAACACCAATGACGTGTCTCCGTAGCTGGAGAGATCATTATCTAATACTATTATCATGTTCAGTGGAACACCAATGACGTGTCTCCGTAGCTGGAGAGATCATTATCTAATACTATTATTATGTTCAGTGGAACACCAATGACGTGTCTCCGTAGCTGGAGAGATCATTATCTAATACTATTATTATGTTCAGTGGAACACCAATGACGTGTCTCCGTAGCTGGAGAGATCATTATCTAATACTATTATTATGTTCAGTGGAACACCAATGACGTGTCTCCGTAGGTGGAGAGATCATTATCTAATACTATTATTATGTTCAGTGGAACACCAATGACGTGTCTCCGTAGCTGGAGAGATCATTATCTATTATTATTATTATGTTCAGTGGAACACCAATGACGTGTCTCCGTAGCTGGAGAGATCATTATCTAATACTACTATTATGTTCAGTGGAACACCAATGACGTGTCTCCGTAGCTGGAGAGATCATTATCTAATACTATTATTATGTTCAGTGGAACACCAATGACGTGTCTCCGTAGCTGGAGAGATCATTATCTAATACTATTATTATGTTCAGTGGAACACCAATGACGTGTCTCCGTAGCTGGAGAGATCATTATCTAATACTATTATTATGTTTAGTGGAACACCAATGACGTGTCTCCGTAGCTGGAGAGATCATTATCTAATACTATTATTATGTTCAGTGGAACACCAATGACGTGTCTCCGTAGCTGGAGAGATCATTATCTAATACTGTTATTATGTTCAGTGGAACACCAATGACGTGTCTCCGTAGCTGGAGAGATCATTATCTAATACTATTATTATGTTCAGTGGAACACCAATGACGTGTCTCCGTAGCTGGAGAGATCATTACCTAATACTACTATTATGTTCAGTGGAACACCAATGACGTGTCTCCGTAGCTGGAGAGATCATTACCTAATACTACTATTATGTTCAGTGGAACACCAATGACGTGTCTCCGTAGCTGGAGAGATCATTATCTGATACTATTATTATGTTCAGAGTTAAATTGTGTAATCCGTATCCCAAATGGAACCCTATTCAATGTAGTGGACCACTAGCTCTATGGGCCCTGGTCAAAAGTAGTGCACTATGTAGAGAATAGGGTGCCATTCTCTGGTCTAAAGTAGTGCACTATATAGGGAATAGGGTGCCATTCTCTGGTCTAAAGTAGTGCACTATATAGGGAATAGGGTGCCATTCTCTGGTCTAAAGTAGTGCACTATATAGGGAATAGGGTGCCATTCTCTGGTCTAAAGTAGTGCACTATGTAGGGAATAGGGTGCCATTCTCTGGTCTAAAGTAGTGCACTATATAGGGAATAGGGTGCCATTCTCTGGTCTAAAGTAGTGCACTATATAGGGAATAGGGTGCCATTCTCTGGTCTAAAGTAGTGCACTATATAGGGAATAGGGTGCCATTCTCTGGTCTAAAGTAGTGCACTATATAGGGAATAGGGTGCCATTCTCTGGTCTAAAGTAGTGCACTATATAGGGAATAGGGTGCCATTCTCTGGTCTAATGTAGTGCACTATATAGGGAATAGGGTGCCATTCTCTGGTCTAATGTAGTGGACCACTAGCTCTATGGGCCCTGGTCAAAAGTAGTGCTCTTTGTAGAGAATAGGGTGTCAATTGGGACACAGATTTGTACACTAACATATACACTACCAGTCAAAGGTTTGGACACACCAACTCGTTCAAGGGTTTTTCTTTATTTTTACTATTTTCTACACTGTAGAATAATAGTGAAGACATCAAAACTATGAAATAACACATATGGAATCATGTAGTAACCAAAAAAAAGTGTTAAACAAATCAAAATATATTTTATATTTGAGATTCTTCAAAGTAGCCACCCTTTGCCTTTGATGACAGCTTTGCACACTGTGTAGCAAATAGCTGGAAAAACAGCCCAAGCAATGTTCTCATGGCCTATGCAGTGAGAACACACTCAATACACTTTTATTTTCCCAAAACTAAAATCTGTTACGTACAGAGTGGACTAAGCTTGTTAGACTTTACCCTTTGCCAAAGTTTTTTTTAAACGGTGTTGTTTTGGGGTGCAACGGCAAATTGATATATATTATATATACAGTGGAGAGAACAAGTATTTGATACACTGCCGATTTTGCAGGTTTTCCTACTTACAAAGCATGTAGAGGTCTGTCATTTTTATCATAGGTACACTTCAACTGTGAGAGACGGAATCTAAAACAAAAATCCAGAAAATCACATTGTATGATTTTTAAGTAATTAATTTGCATTTTATTGCATGACATAAGTATTTGATACATCAGAAAAGCAGAACTTAATATTTGGTACAGAAACCTTTGTTTGCAATTACAGAGATCATACGTTTCCTGTAGGTCTTGACCAGGTTTGCACACACTGCAGCAGGGATTTTGGCCCACTCCTCCATACAGACCTTCTCCAGATCCTTCAGGTTTCGGGGCTGTCGCTGGGCAATACGGACTTTCAGCTCCCTCCAAAGATTTTCTATTGGGTTCAGGTCTGGAGACTGGCTAGGCCACTCCAGGACCTTGAGATGCTTCTTACGGAGCCACTCCTTAGTTGCCCTGGCTGTGTGTTTTGGGTCGTTGTCATGCTGGAAGACCCAGCCACGACCCATCTTCAATGCTCTTACTGAGGGAAGGAGGTTGTTGGTCAAGATCTCGCGATACATGGCCCCATCCATCCTCCCATCAATACGGTGCAGTCGTCCTGTCCCCTTTGCAGAAAAGCATCCCCAAAGAATGATGTTTCCACCTCCATGCTTCACGGTTGGGATGGTGTTCTTGGGGTTGTACTCATCCTTCTTCTTCCTCCAAACACGGCGAGTGGAGTTTAGACCAAAAAGCTCTATTTTTGTCTCATCAGACCACATGACCTTCTCCCATTCCTCCTCTGGATCATCCAGATGGTCATTGGCAAACTTCAGACGGGCCTGGACATGCGCTGGCTTGAGCAGGGGGACCTTGCGTGCGCTGCAGGATTTTAATCCATGACGGCGTAGTGTGTTACTAATGGTTTTCTTTGAGACTGTGGTCCCAGCTCTCTTCAGGTCATTGACCAGGTCCTGCCGTGTAGTTCTGGGCTGATCCCTCACCATCCTCATGATCATTGATGCCCCACGAGGTGAGATCTTGCATGGAGCCCCAGACCGAGGGTGATTGACCGTCATCTTGAACTTCTTCCATTTTCTAATAATTGCGCCAACAGTTGTTGCCTTCTCACCAAGCTGCTTGCCTATTGTGCTGTAGCCCATCCCAGCCTTGTGCAGGTCTACAATTGTATCCCTGATGTCCTTACACAGCTCTCTGGTCTTGGCCATTGTGGAGAGGTTGGAGTCTGTTTGATTGAGTGTGTGGACAGGTGTCTTTTATACAGGTAACGAGTTCAAACAGGTGCAGTTAATACAGGTAATGAGTGGAGAACAGGAGGGCTTCTTAAAGAAAAACTAACAGGTCTGTGAGAGCCGGAATTCTTACTGGTTGGTAGGTGATCAAATACTTATGTCATGCAATAAAATGCAAATTAATTACTTTAAAATCATACAATGTGATTTTCTGGATTTTTGTTTTAGATTCCGTCTCTCACAGTTGAAGTGTACATATGATAAAAATGACAGACCTCTACATGCTTTGTAAGTAGGAAAACCTGCAAAATCGGCGGTGTATCAAATACTTGTTCTCCCCACTGTATATTATAACATACAATCTACTAGCAGTGAAGCCGCTCAACATTTACATCACATCAGTCATCTAACAGACTCCCATCCAGAGCGACCCACAAAAGCAACCAGGGTCAACGCCCTGCTCAAAGGCACGTTGACAGATCTCCCACAAGGTCAAAAACGGGAACCCGAACCAGCGACCTATCAGCCCAGGGCCCAAGCTCCCAACCGCCAGGCCACCAGCCCTCCAAGATCCCCCCCCACAGTTCCCCAAGAGCTGCCCCTCCAACCATCCGAGACGGTTGACACACGGACACGTCACATAGTAGGCGTTCCCTAACAGAAGTATGCAAATACATGCTAGAAACGCGCCAATAGGATCTCGCTAGCTCGTGCTTGGCTCTGCCCACCTCCTTGCTTGTAATGATCCAATTAATTAGCCCGCTACAGTAACTTTGAGAAACAGTGAAAAATAGTTTGGTCAATTTTGGGGTCAAAATAACCAGTTATCTATTTACCTTTCGATAAGCAGCTAGCTAGTAGTGCACTATACAGGGAGTAGGGTGCTGTTTAGGATGCAGTTTTCATAACATTTCATGTGTTGATGCACAAACGCAACTTAGTGTGGAGTCTCGTAGGAAGGTTGGAGAGAGGGAAGCTAGTGTGGAGTCTCGTAGGAAGGTTGGAGAGAGGGAAGCTAGTGTGGAGTCTGGTAGGAAGGTTGGAGAGAGGGAAGCTAGTGTGGAGTCTCGTAGGAAGGTTGGAGAGAGGGAAGCTAGTGTGGAGTCTCGTAGGAAGGTTGGAGAGAGGGAAGCTAGTGTGGCGTCTCGTAGGAAGGTTGGAGAGAGGGAAGCTACACGTAGTTGAGAGAGAAATATAAATAGTGTAAAGGAATGCCTGGATGGACAGGGTCAGTCGACTACAACGGGAGAGGTCGTGACATGGGTCAATTAAGGTCAACGCATTCCAGGAAATTAAAGAATCATGTTACAATCATATTAGAATCATATTAGAATCATTTTAGAATCATATTAGAATTATATTAGAATCATTTTAGAATCATTTTAGAATCATATTAGAATCATATTAGAATTGTATTAGAATCATGTTAGAATCATATTAGAATCATATTAGAATGATATTAGAATCATATTAGAATCATATTAGAATCATTTTAAGAATCATATTAGTCCTCTAACTGTCAGTTCGTTGGGCTGAACCACCGTTATGATACACCTGAGTCCAGCTCACTGAGACAGTAGACATACCTGTCTTACTACCTCCAGTCAAAAGTAGGAAACAGGGTGCCGTTTGGTGCGTCCCAATAACATCCCCTTCCTCCTGAAGTGTGCCCTCGTTCACTACTCCCCACCAATTTAAAAGCTGGATTGGTCGTGGAATGGGTTAAAGGGAGTTTCTTGTACCAATCGTTTCCTTTAAAATCCATGAAGGGAAGTGAACAAGTGAGAAAGGAGAGATTATTGAGATGCAGCCTGTGTTCAGTTGTGCGTCAACATCCTCTGGGCTGACAGCTAAAGTGTGTGTGTACATTTACATCCTCTGGGCTGACAGCTAAAGTGTGTGAGTGTGTGTGTGTGTGTGTGCGGGTGTGTGTGTTAACATCCGCTGGGCTGACAGCTAAAGTAGCACAGCGATGTCCCAGACTATCCGCCTCTGGCCTTTTACCTCTCTATCTCCTCCTCTACCTCTTTCTAAGTGTTTTCTATCTCTCTCTCTCTCTCTGTCTCTCTCTCTCTCTTTCTCTGTCTCTGTCTCTGTCTCTGTCTCTCTCTCTCTCTCTCTCTCTCTCTCTCTCTTTCTCTCGCTCTCTCTCCTCTCTTTTTGAGTGGGTTTTTATCTCTCTCTCTCAATTCAATTTAAGGGCTTTATTGGCATGGGAAACGTATGTTAACTCTCTTTCTTTCCTCTATTTATAGGTGTTGTTCTCTCTCTCTCTCCTCTCTTTATAAGTGTTGTTATATCTCTCTCTCTCCTCTCCTCTTTAAGTGTTGTTATATCTCTCTCTCTCCTCTCTTTATAAGTGTTGTTCTATCTCTCTCTCTCCTCTCCTCTTTAAGTGTTGTTATATCTCTCTCTCTCCTCTCTTTATAAGTGTTGTTCTATCTCTCTCTCTCCTCTCTTTATAAGTGTTGTTCTCTCTCTCTCTCTCCTCTCCTCTTTAAGTGTTGTTCTATCTCTCTCTCTCCTCTCTTTATAAGTGTTGTTCTCTCTCTCTCTCCTCTCTTTATAAGTGTTGTTCTATCTCTAACTTTGAAACCCAAGCAACTTATTTATTTGTGTGTGTGTGTGTGTGTGTGTGTTTTGTGTGTGTGTTGTGGTGCCTGATCTAATGGTATGTAGATCTACTATTAGAGAAGGTCCTGGTTCTCTTCAATGCTTTTCAACGAGGAACATTTAGAATTGAAATTGGGTTTGTTTACTTCCTGAGGTGAGAAGGAACTGACCCCAACCCAGGTTGAATCATACGGTATTGAATTGTACTCTTACAGGCTGCAGTGTGTTCACAGCGATGTGTGTCAAGACTGAGTCAAATACTTTCTACCAAAAATATATCCATCCAGAGCAAACTGCAACCATCCCAACACCATCCCAGTGTTTCCCGTCCAACCCGTAAATGATATTTAAAAGCATATTAAAACATGACATGATTACACCACTGTCAATGGATAAATATATGGACATAAATCTAATGGTTTCTTGTTGTATTTGTCACAATTTAATCAACTCAAAGTTCTGCCAAAGTCACCACACTATTAGTTGATGTAGCCTGGTTTAAATGGAGGCCTAAAGTCTTCTGAGGTTATTGGCCTTCAGCTTTGTTTTGACTGAAAGATGCACACACACACACACACACAGACACACTCACACAGACACACTCACACTCACACACACACAAACACACACACACACACACACACATATCTACACACACACACACACACACACACACACAGATATCTCTGTCCGTGTGATCACATATGCTTGGTCTTTGCTCATAGATACAGTGTAGGAACGTTACGTGAGTGGAGAGAAGTTGTTTAACATACACACACACACACACACACACACACACACACAACACACACACACACACTAAAGTCTTCTGAGGTTATTGGCCTTCAGCTTTGTTTTGACTGAAAGATGTCACCCAGCATGTTAGTCCCTTTCTCTCCCCCCTTTTCAGCTGGCTATCAGGGGGATGAGGAAGGGTGTGGAGGTTTTCTATGTCATGATAACCTACTTATTGTGGTGACTTTGTCACAGGGTAGTAAAAAAGGCCGGTTGGTTGGAAGAAGGCAGGTTGATGCCGTCGTAAACCAGTATTAATATGGTCTCGTGCGTATTTCACCGAAATCCTTCCGTTCGTTTTTTTTTTGTTCTTCTCCATATCCATGGATTGTGAGAGCACCGATTGCTCTGTGGTGTGTTGCTCTGGCCTGCAGTATGGTCAAGTCCGCTGCAGGAGTTTCCCCTCCTCAGCCTGTTTGAATTCTACCGAGGAGAGGTGTGCAGTGTGTGCAGCATTGAGAAGCACACCGTTCGTTTCACTGCGTTGATTTCATCCAATCCAGATAAATAATGGC